CTTCACCAAAGTGCGCTCTAGCCTTGGCAACTTTCCAGGCCTCTCTAGGCCCATGGTGTAAATTCCAAGTCAGCTGGCCCAATGCTTTTTTAACATCTTCGCCCTCTGACCACGTAGGCTCGCTTGGTGCACAACACCTCGATTGCCTGGGATGGAAGGGTGCAGATAACCGGTTGAGTGGCCCCTGCAAAAGACTTGTGAACGCTTTGCTACACCCCCTCAGTGTTTGGGTTTTATTGGTTACCCACGTGGGAAAAGAAAACATCTTTCTATTGTTGGACAGGCACTGCGTTCGAGATGGGGCACACTACTGTATGGCCTTTTGTCCCCTTGCAAGTTGAGTTTGGCCGTGCTTCTCGTGAAACTCCCATCTCTTTCAAATTGAAAGACTGCCACACCCCGGTGGTGTTCTTCTCGCCCTGAGCCTTCAGGCGCTGCTTCTTTGCTTTCTTCGCAGCCTGAGCGCGACGGTTGGATGAGAAGTTGAGGAAGAGCGAAGGGAGGGCAAACAATTTTTCAAGAGGACAATCACATAAAGAATTTGCTTTTGCCTCAGTGGAACCCTGACATCACCTTCCAAAGCCTTTCGCACGCCCTCAAAATCAATTGGGGCAGGGACAGATCACTTGCTTCGGATAGTCTCCTCTTCCTTGGCATCATCCTGAAGACGCGTCGCAAGTTGTATTTCTTCACGCAGGTTTTATGCTTTGTTGAGGGGTAACTGCAACCTCGTTAGACCCGCTTTGTTACATGCTTTGTTTCGTTCGGACTTACTTAGACCCACGAGTGAAGGACGCATGAGTGAAGACCCTGCTTTCTCAAGAAGGGCTGCGTGAAGAGATCTTCACGTGTCATTCAAACCCTTAAGTTATCTTCAAAAGCTCTTGGTCAAGCGTAATAGGAACAGCCCTTCTCCTTCTTGGGCTCTGCCAGCGGAAGTGGCGACGCGTCACCATCAGCCGAGACCTCCAAAGAAGACGGTCCATGGTGTGGTTGATATCGCTTGGAGTGAGACAACCACACATGACCTGTTCGAGTCACTGAAACAACAACACATTTGTTTGGTATTCGCGTTTGAGTCATTTGAGATTTTTGCTACCACTCACACAAGATGCGATTTGAAGCGCTTTACTAATAGATGACTTGGACCGCTTTGAAAACACCCTCGCCTCGAAAACTTTTGAAGAGCGAAAGCAATCCCAATCATGGCACGTGCACAGCATAGCACACTTTGGGTTCTGGTGCCCATACTCGGTGTACGCACTGATGCAATGGTAGAGGTAGTCATTGAACATTGGATGCCTTGGTTTTTGGCAGACTCATGAATAGAACTTCGGTGAACAATTGGCCTCAGACCCATGCAAACAAATTGGGCCCCATTAAGAGAGGAAGGCATGATATTATATATTGGTATAGCGGAGCCCTCACCATGTGGGGCAAGCTTGGTAGCGAAGCTTTAGGTATAAACGAAAGCGTGCCAAACTTGGCCTAAAGTGCCTCAAGTCTGCTTTGCAAAAAGTGTCTTTGCACTCTTCACCAGAGGGGCGGCCGTTGCACCACCACTTGTAAAGCAACTCCACCGGCGCAACAATGCGTTCGCGCCTGTCCGCCTCTGAGTAGGCACAATAGGCCGCAGATAGCCAAGCTCCTGGGCGTTGGCTGTCAGGCTCTTCCTCCTCCTCCTCCTCCTCCTCCTCCTCCTCCACCTTCACCATCTGCACATCACTGTCCGACGATGACTCCTCATCCTCTTCAGCACTGCCTGGTATCAAGCCACAGCATGCTGACTGATCTGTGACCGCCCCGTCCTAGAATCACAAGAATAAAAACAAATAGAACCGGGTGAGCCAACACATACCCAGTTGCCCAAACCTGGAAGCTCCATGGTGGTTTGAGACAAACTCCCATGCTCACGACCGCCATCACAAGCATCACCATCGCTGTCATCGTCGACAACTGGCGCTGCCTCTTCGTCACCAGACACTTCTTCATCATCGCCAGGCATGTTGCCCTCAATGTCTGAACCTGCGCAATCATCCCCATCATCATCAGAGCTAGCCTTGGCGCGCGCAAGTCAAGTCACTGCCCATTGAACACATAGAGGAAAAGCTCCCAAACAATAAAAACACCTGCCGCGCAAACCGCGCACTTGACTTTATTGCTAGTAACGGCGCGCCGTCGCTTGTTCGGGGAAGGCCTCAACATGTTTTTCAGCTCTGATACGCGAGGGTGATTCCCTGCAGGGGAGGATCGCCAAAGCGCTCGCACAGCCCCAACCAACTTCTTCAGCCCCAACCAACTTCTTCAGTTGCAGCTTTGACTGGCCGCCGACCAACATCTTCTCCTGGAACAGCTTGTCCAACCTCAAGATGCAATCTGTGAGGAAATAGCCAGACGGAACCTAGAGCTGCGGCAAGGTCAACAGGAAAAAACAGGGCAACGCAAGTTACAAGTCGAACCTGAAATACACATTCACAAAAAAAATTACAAAAGAAATGGAATTGAGGAGCTTTGTCGGAGCTGAACGATATGATGGGTCGAAGCATGTGGAAATTGATTGCAACATCAGCAGCTGAACATCGAGTCAGGGCATTGTCCAATCTCACGATGGCGCCAGCTTTCCAATTGCCATCCTGAAGCAAAGTGTGAACACAGGCTTGCAGCTGGTCGAACATGCCACGGGCGACTTCATCAACTTCACGCTCAGTCCACCCAATCTTCCCAGCACCTCAAACTTCCCCATGGGAACTTCCCCAATTGGCTTCACTATATAAAAGCCCTACCGCCACAAAAGAGCAGCTACACGTGTGGAAACTTTCAAACAAAGACGGCAGCTGCGCCACAAAGACTTCCCGCTCTCCTCTGCAGGACGGTCCGGGCGGAACTCCACCAACGCTCCTTCGTCAGGTGCCTCTGGTTCACGCGACTCTGGTTGAGCGCGAGCCATGGCTTTGGGGAGTGGAGCAACTTAAGGCGGGACCACCAAACTGACAGGAAAGATGCCTCTGGAAGAAGCGAGGCTCTTGGCAACTCAGAAGCACAGCCAATCGCACAAAAAACTGCGTCCTCACAAATCCTTCCCTGATATTAAAATATAGAGGGCGTTACAAGTAAGATGCATGGAAAGCTGAAGGCAGAATGCAAACAACTTCTGAGAACCTTCGCACGCGGACGCGCCTCCAAACGCCCCGTGGAGGACGGGCGACTCTCAAGCAAAATGGGCCACGGTGTGGCAACAAGTCTGTCACACGCGCAGCAAAAAAATAAAGAACATCTCTGCCTGAACATGGGCACCTCTATGGGGCCCAAAAATTTTACGCGCATTTACAATTTCACTGCGCTATCAGAAAACTCACCAGAACCGCGGCTGGAAAAAACAACAAACACCCCAAACTGCTACAACACTTTGCGCGCGTTGCCGCCCATTAACTTGCAAGTTCTCGCAAATAAATAGCTCTCACGGCGGTGCAAATCCATGACCCCACGCTAGCTTTAACCAGTATAGTTCCAAACAACAAGTTTACAAGTTTGGCAACAAGGCGCACCTTGCGGTGTCGTTGGGAGCAACGTTGTGCCAGATACAAGTTTGGGTCCTCATGGTAAAAGCATCACTTACTCACGCAAAAAGGTTGCTGTCCATCAGTCTGTTTTGTTGGCCGTATGATGGGCTCCAAGAGACATGCCGCACTGAGTACCAGCGGTTTCTGCGTAATCCCTCTCTGATAAATATGAGAAGATGTGGTTCGTGATAACTGGCAGTAGGTACACTTCTACCCCCGACTCGCCAACCATTACCGGCTCTTCCGTCGATTACGACGACGCCTGCGCGCTACCAGACAACCCATTCTTCACACTTCACACAAACTACATGCCCTTACAGTCCTGCGAGACCTCGCCAAATCTACCACGCAGAGCTTCTTATGATGCAGCGCGCAGACTTCTTGGACGCCTGTCGTGGTTGCTAAGCCTCTGTCTCGATTGAACCTGTTTACATAGACGCCGGAACCATGCTTACAATTGAGGCAACCATGGGTTATCAGATTTATAAACATGGTTAAGGTGTCCAACCACACTGTCCTGTTTACTAAAAAAGTTGGCTTTTTAATAAATGGTTAGCAAACCTGCAAACTATTTATTAGATGGAAAATACGTTTTTAATAGCGTTTAGCCTATTTCACTTGAAGTGGGCTAATCGTGTTGGCTTGTTTAGCACACTTAGCTAAACGTGACTGTCTTGTTTACACAACAAAGATAAACGACTCTGGCCTACTCATAAGTAGGTTTATAACCGTGCCAAAATCCGTGGGATCGATTTTTTTGGATTTCGCTGGCCGTGGAAAGTGTTTGTCGGCGTGCAGGCGTCGGGTTTTTCAATTTCCGGGCCGCGCTCGATCGTAAACATATCAAGCTGGATGGGTTGCGTGATTGCTTCATTCCATGGAAAGGGGAGCTGTACCTTTGTATAGTTAGGTTTCGGGTTGCTAGCAGTAGGGACATGTTGGGACACACATATTCAATTTGTGAAGTCTCTGACAATGTGTTTCTAGCGTGCGCAATATACAAGGTCATGAAACCGTGCACTCCACATCGATCGCCGGCGCAATGTACCCACTGGGTCATAAACGTTGGCGACGTCGAGATTGATGAGGCGCGCCTTCCAACTTGCTTGATTCTTTTCTGTCCTGACTTGCTTGAAGAATGTCTTAGGGAAGATGTCATTTTCTAAATCCTATATATGCACATGTCCTCATTTGACTGCCACAGTTGCGAAACCATTTGCTCGTGCAAGAAGTCCTATAGTTTTCAAAGAAAATATCCTGAAACGTGGATTGGGTTGCACTTGACAGGGCATCAAACAGTTTCATTCTGAAGGGAAACGTTGAAGACAACGAACGCAGGGTGTTAGACAAACACTCGCAACCATTGCATGAGTGCAGGGCATGCGTTTGCAGCTCGCCGACTTATAGTTTTGGGATCAAAGAGTTGCAAGGAAAGCTCATTGTGTGAACCATGGTTGTGAGCACGGAGGCACTGAGTGAGA